GTGGGGGTGGGTGTTAAAAAAAGGGGGAGAGTGAGAGGGACTGTAGTCCGGGTTTCACGGCACAAGGAGACGAAGGGTGAAAGGGACGGGACTTGGACTGCCACCAGCCCCGCCTCTTCTTCTCTATGCATTTGTCAGTGATACGTTACATCTGTTTTTTCCCCTTCCCTACCCCCTCTGCCCTTCTACTGTCCTATTACTCCTTTTTTCTGATTACACCAAAGTACGCACCAACTCACCTTTATCCCCCCATACTTCCTTTTTCTCTTCTTTCACCCTTCCCTTTCCTCCTTATTCACAACCCCTTGCCCTTTTACACTTTTCAAAATAGCAATTTTTTTTTTATACCTATAAGGTCTGCATACGTACATTAAAACAATCTGCCAAAAATCTTTTTAGTTCACAAAGCTCAAGTTAGAAGCATCTAAATATGTCATTTATCTCACCATACTCTTTGATGGTAAAAATAAATAAAAGACATATTGAGTAGTTGAGATATAGTCATTTTGCAATAACGTTGATTTATATTTGTTCAATTCAATTTAATTTATTGAGTTCTAAATTAGTAAAAGAACTTAAATTATATAATTGATAGTGTAAAGTTGTTGTACTTAGTGTAATTTAATAGGTTATTATTGTAAATCAACTTAAATTAATGGATAAAATTTTTTATACACTCAGTCTACAAAACTAAAAATCTTAATAAGATCAAGCACGGTTTTGCTATATATACAAAGTTTCTAATTACCCTATTAGAGCACCTACAAAAGAATATTGCTATCTAACATTTCAACTTACTCATAATTGAAATTCTCTTATAAATATAGAAATATTGGACATAATTTAACCTTAAGTATATTATTAATGAAATCAAATACTGAAATATAAAATGAAATATGTAATTTATTTACAATAAAATAAGATAGTAGCATCTTGGTGTTATTGGAAAGAGGGAGGGTATTTTGGAAAGGGAGGAAAGAAAGATGTAGACAAGTCAAAGGAATTGTAAAATTGAGGGAGATCTTCCCCTCTAATCTATCTGTACACTGTCTGACTGAAGCTGAGCCCACAGTCCCCTCCTTCTGAAAAGGAAAAGAGAGTGCTAGGAATTGAAGCATCTCTTCATCCTCTATCCTCTCCTATCCAACTTTATTTTCCCCCTTCCTAGTAAAACAATGAAATCAAACAATAGTGTTGGGGTCCATCAACTTCTTTAATTTCTTACTAGTACTGTTTATTCACTGAAACAACAACTATTCAGTAAAATTTCACCAATAAAATTAGAGGAGGTTAGAGTGTACGC